AACTGACATGTGACCGGCGGAATAACAAATTGTCGAGTATTGGTCAATTTGGGTTCAATAAATTTCCGTAAATTCGTAAAATATGAATCACCCACTGAAACATTGGGTCGTAACTTGTCTTCAACAGAAGCGAAATGTGTATTGAAATTATTAACAATTTTTTCGAGGTTAGATATGATATGATCCTTATGATATACATTATATCACAATGGTGGAAATAAAATCACGAGTAGTACTCAGGCCCCAAACGTAATAACGATCACTGGTAGTTTTCACTAAATTTTACATTTTCTTTAAATGCATTTTCAAAATTCTACATGACCATGATAAGAAGGCCTTAACTTTTACATAGTCAACGGAGCCTACATGTATGTCAGTGATCTTCACTGTAATGGAAACCTACTCACGGTGAACGACTAAAATACTTGACCAATATGTTAGGTATATTTTGTCAGTATTTGAACGCTTTTACCATTGATTCCTATGGTTGAGAATCTGAGATATAATACCATATCTCAAATTGTAGGTAGGTGACAGGACGAAAAATTGATACTGTCGTGACTTTGAATATTAAAAAAAGTATCTAAAATGCTATTTAATTTCACCCGTTGTATTATTATTATAAATCAAGAAAAGAACTGTTTTAGGAAGCACGAACTGGTCAACTAGTACTGGTAAAGATAATAAAGAAATGTTTCCTTGTACAAACCATTCTGTTGTAGTATAAAATACATGAAAACCTCTGTTGTGCTATATGGTGAATAGCCTGGTACCCGGATGTAAATGTCTGCCCTATGCAAAACACGGGTCAACAACCATAGAAACAGACAACACTCGGTCTGCCACTGCTGTTGTAAAGGTTTATTGATGTCTTAGTTGTACGTTCGTCTTGGTTCACAAAGTAAGCGGAGCTGTGAAAACGTATCTTCTAAGATGGGGTCGCATAAAGTGATATTCTCGATCGCGTCGCTAAATGTAGGTAACGACGTCGAAGTTGTCGCCGATCTGAAGAATATGTGTGACGAACTAGAAACCTCTAAATTTAGGCTGCTGGTGATTGGAGACACTCGGGATCAAATCTCGTCAGTGATCACAAAGAAGCTCCAGCTGACTGACAGGTAAGATCAATGTTCTTATAACGGCCGCGGTTGCTCCATACCCAAGAACTTGATAAACGCCCCTGGTGGGTGTGAATATCGAAATACAACGGTTTTATAGCTTCGTTCAGTTCGTTGTCACCGTACCATGGTTCAGTGAAGACCCAGAAAGAAAACTACTGTTTCAATATTGTTTGCCTCGCGCACATAGAAGCCTCTATCCTATAAATTTCAAAGCTTGGTCATCAATTATTAGAACAGTGGAGTTTAAATCACTACTGATATTTTCTTAACATTGTTGTGACGTACATTACTGTGTTACAACAAATAAACAACGACACATTGAAACAGATATGTACACTTTAACTAAATCGTATTGTTTCATTGTTGTGACACTGTTTACAGTTTGCAGTATTTGTGAAATGACATCTCAATATTTCTGTTTACATGCTTCAAATAGCAAGACTGTTCTCAACAAACATGTACAGGCGAGCAGTTGACCATTTGAAAAACTGGGCAAATAATTTTTTTCGTTTACTTCATTTTGATTTTTTTTCTTGATGATGATCATGAATTATTTTTTGCTAAATGCTCTATCATAGGTGTATTTCTTTAATTCCCTATTTTAATAATCTTAGATTTCAGATGCTGTGTCGGGGTCAACAGTTGAGAGATTTCATTCACGAATACAGAACTGGTTCAGAAACCCTTGCATTGATTGGAGTGGAAGACAGAGACTTAGACATTGCTGCAAGTAACAGACTGTTATTTTTAAGTGCAAGATGGGTGCACTGTGATGTAAAAGTTGCTAAATATGGAATACCTGCCCATAGTCCTAGGAAACTGACCGGTATACTGAAAAATATTAACCAACAGACAGAATGGTTTTACAGGTGAGATTAATTTTTAAAGTGCTATAGTCGTAGCAACACAATATTCAATATGGGTCCCATGTTATGTACAGTGTACAGTATACAAACGTTCTTGTTCTTGTATGCTCAAACATACACTGTGCATTGACTGCACTCTAATTCACTTGCAGTGAGAAATATTGAATGTACTTTTATTTTTTTTACTACATATTCTTGAAAACTAAAGGTTTTCTATAAATTCGCAAAGACTTGTGGGTAATGGGAGCTACCAAATGGATTCTGTAGTGCCCAAAAAATGA